TGTAGTTGTCGACTATGTGCACATTATCGTTATCGAGGGAGGGAATTGACGTCATTTCATATTCATGCACTGCATGCTTGCATTGTTGTATTACACAACAAAGTTCAAACTGCAAGCACATTATGTTTATAAAATGAGCTATTGGTCAACAGTGGTCGAGGTGGTGGAAGACAAGACCGGGGAAGTGGATACTCTAACGGTTCAGGTTATGGTAAGTCAGGTGTGGTGCATTTCAATGAGTATTCACAGGCTCTGGTCACCTGACAAGCTGGGGGTCATCATAGGTTTTCATCCCTTTTCAAACATTTCCATGTTTGTATTAAATTGTACCATTTCAACTGAAGGTTATCGACTCAAACTTCCCTTAAATTTGGTAATGATGGTCAAAATGATAAAATCTTGGGTTATCTTTAAGAAGTACTGTTATCCAAGTAAGGTTATCGTGGTTGCACAGGATACAACTGTGCTGGTTTTTTTAAAAAGTGTTTGTTTACATGGTTTGCTGTGATACTGACAGCCTTGAGGGGTTTGACCTAGAGTTTATTGCATACAAACTTGATATGAGTGTGATCACTGTGTTGTATTGCCATGTTTGTTATTTCATGGCCTAKAACTTGTATAAACCTGTTTTAAAATATTTTGCCACAACATACAGTGCYTACTCTAAAGATTGCAAAGGATTGGCAGATTTGTAGAATGTTTTGTATTGTCCATATGTCAAGCAAATGCAAAACTTCTACCAAACTTTGTTCTTAGCTCTTGTCTGAAATGCTTGCAATATAACATTTTCAAAGCTTTAAAAAACAGGGCTTTCAATAGTACATGTTGTTCCTGGAAAGTAGGTTCTTTACACTGAATTAATTTTTGACAAAATCGCCAGCAGGTGAAACTGAAGTATGTGGTAATTAACTGCCTCAGGCACCTTTAATTGACATCCCTTTCTCTGTGATTCTTTGCAGTCTTCAGGTTATTTACTGTGATATATTGAGCAATGTCTTTTTTTAACCAGGTTTATATAATATTTCATTTTAATTTTGTAAGTACAGAATTCAGCTTTATGATCACCTGCATTTGAAGGGGCGGATGCGAGAACGGCGTAAGTGACAATTTAGGGTATTTTTGAAACTTTTTCAAAATTGAAAAAAAATACATTAATCATTTGTTTCTGGTCTAAATAATCATGTAACTATGGTTTGTTTTTTGTTTTTTGTTTTGCTCTTTTTAGAAAGAAATCAGGAGAAATAAGTACTAAATAAGATTATTTAGACTGAAAATAAGCGATTGAAGTGATTTTATTTTTCAATTTTTTGAAAATATCAAAAATACCCTGAATCGTCACTTACACCGTTCTCGCATCCGCCCCTTTATTTGCTGTGTAGAATACCATGCTAAAATGTTGGGTACTAAAGAGGAATTGCCTTTGGGGTTTATAAAGAATCACATTGGTTAAATGTTGCTTATTAAACACTTGAATAAAGCAAAATGAAGCAAAGATGGGTGGATCAGTATCATTGTAAAGATTGTGCATACACAATCTTTACACAATATCAAATGTGCTTGGTCTGCGGTTGCTAGGGGTATGATGTCTGTATGCAGCAGTACCTATGTAATGCAATAATGTGCAAGGCATTCGGTAGATTCCCTTTGACAGGAATGGTCCTTATGAATAAACGTTTGGAAAAAATGTTCAAGTAGATGCTTAATATTTGTGGGAAATAAACTTTCAGTAGCAAATTATCTCAAAAGCAAATATACTGTAGTCACTGTGTAATGACTTGGTTTTGGGGCTCAAAMGAATGCAGTGGTATTTGAAAWAGTGTTTTAGCAAGAAGTAAAGGAAGGGATATGTTTAGAAGAGTAGTCATTTATAAGTTTGTAAAGAAGGTCCAAGGGCATAAAGGTTATGGAGTATGTCTTAGCATTGCTTGTAAATAAAGGTTCAAATGCTAGGGAGGGGGTTTGCATTGAAATTCAAGACCAAGGTCCAGGTCATCACTAGAAATGAAGAACCTGCATTAGACAATGGAAAAAGGGTGCGGCTAGCTTATAATTATTTCTGTCAACTTCAGTATTGCTTAGTTCTGGTTGATACAGGGTTGTTTTGATTTGCTTGCAAGAGATTGGTACTAGTACTTAACTACCATCTACATTTATGTGTCTAGACAATAATAAGCTGTGAATTTGGATTTGCCATTTCATGGACTGCTTTGGTTAAGGGAGTTGAAACAATAAATATTTTGGTTTTATTTCACAGACATATTTTTCCTACTAAAATAATACAATGATAATACAACATGGTATATGGTGAATCTATTGTGAAATCTATCCTACATATCTAGTGTTCATAATATTTTATACTAACAAGAAAGTGTTCATAAGTTGTCAATTATGTAAAAAAAACAATTATTGGTTACTGGTTCCTTAAGGTATTTTAAAGCATGGTGCATTTTTCAAAATGCTTTATGAAAGTCAATCTTTCAAATTAACATTTTGAGAGTCAGTCATGATGAACCATAATGGGAGATGTGTTTCTTAACATGAGTTCCAATTAAAATGCTGGGACTTCACTAAATGTGTCTTATCATTAGTGAATGTCAGTAATAGTCCAAGTAAGCATCCTCTTCCTGTCGCATATATTGAGAAAACACACCTGGAGTGAGGTGACTAACATTTAAGCTGGTTAGAAAGAGTTAAACATGGTTTTTGGGAGTGAAATAAAATACTGAAATCTGAAATGGATACTTAATTCAAATATTTCTAAGCATCATACCTTACCATAAGTGAGTCCATAGAAAGTTAACTTTAGTTCTAGRCTGGTCAATGTCCCAATGTCACTATTGTTCCTGTTTGAATTGTTATGACTTGATTTACTGATAAAATATACCTTTGTACAGTCTTTTTGGGCATACATTTTATCAGCAGTTTGGTGTTTAGAATGTTTACATATTAATTATGGTTACATTTAATTAATTCTGAAATATTCTGGGTTATTTGTTTTACTAGAYAAGTTTGTTAGGTTTGGTTTCATTCTCTAAGCTATTTAATGTCGTTTCAGGTGGTGGAGACAGTGGTGGCAGTCAGGGTWAGTGTTTTCAATGTCTACTTTGTTTTGTCTTGTCACTTATCTGAAAGCTGTACTGATACTTAAATACCCAAATTTAATAGACTAAATGCTTTTTGAATGTCTGAGAATACTGGTCTTTGACATATTAGAATAATTTAATAGTTTATCAATGATTTTTTTTTTCTTACAGAGAAACAATACTCAGTAGACACCATCTTCTGCTCCAATGTGCACATCAATGCTACTGAAGAGAATTTGAAAGAATTGTTTGGATCCATTGGAATTATTAAGGTAAGATATTCTTATATTAATTTTACTGTATTTTATCATCCAAGATGATACTTGTGAAGTTAGAGAGCAATTTGCTATTACTGTAATGTGGGAAATCCCTCATACATGTATATTATCATTCTGTTGTTCATGTAAGAGTTTTTACATTACATGTACATATGCTTATATGCTTTGTTTGAATTCAAGATGGATAAAAAGTTAAACAAGCCAAAGATTTGGATCTATAAACACCCTGATGGCACATCTAAGGTATTTGATATTCACAATATAGCATTTCTTTTTTATCAATTCATTATTAACATTAGTATTATCAATTTGTCAGGGTGAATGTACTATCACATATGATGACCCTCCAACAGCAACCGCTGCTATCCAGTGGTTTAATGGTAAGTTTTTATGGGTTYGTTGTGTTRACATGCATACAGCTATTCTAGAAGGATACTYCATTACCAAAATGCATTGCTGGTTMAMATATCACCCTAATAGAGTGACTATGCCAGCTTTGTAACTTWGTAGAATTATCATTTTGTAGCACTACTTACATGAAATCAAATAGCAATAMGTATATTCAAGTAAGTATGGTTTGGTTCCTTCAAAATATGCATGCATGTTTATGCAGTTTTTATGAGTGTTTTTCACACACCTTGTCTTGCTGCTCCAACTMCAGTGGTTTCTGGTATTTTTGTTTAAGACAACTATAGTTTTTTGTGTCAATGGAGACAAGCAAAACCAAGGGAGACCAATGCTTAGTCTACATTTCAATTCTTGTCTCAAGCTGTGTGTTTTCTTATCAGGAAAAGACTTTATGGGACAAAATATCAAAGTAGAACTAGCAGAGGCTAGGGTACCAAAGTTCTTCCAGAAAAGAGGTGGTGGTGGTGGTGGAGGTAATGTTTATTACTTATAGTTTTTAATGTTAAGTTACTGAGTGTTAAAGTTTGTTGTTTGTGTTAAGAAATGTGTACAATTTATTGTGTTCAAGTCTGTGATGTTTCATTTTTCGTGTCTTAAAATGTGTGAGTTGTTTTGTTTATTGTCCAATAAGTATAGCACCAGTACATACACTGTACATGTAAGTCTAGATGCTCCTGCCAACACAATACTTGCACAAGTCATTTCATTTCATATATAATGTTTCCTTGAAATGTATTTCTTCTATGCCTAGGCAATTTCCTCACAGTTTTCAGTCCTAAAGCATTGTCCTGTACGAATACTAACAAAGTAGTCTAGTAAAGGTTTTCACTTTTTTTAGRTACATTTTATATTGTTTTGCAGGATTCCGTGGCCGAGGAGGTGACCGTGGTGGTCGAGGAGGCGGCCGTGGTGGTGGYGGTGGWGGAGGTGATGCAAGATCAGGAGACTGGGACTGTCCTAGGTATGAATTGGTATATGATATATTAATATCGCTTGAAAAAAATTGAAGGTTTTGGTGATATAAAGTTTAGATTTGCGGTTTTGAAGAATATTTATTTCTGAAAAAGAAATATTCATATATTTACCCTTTTAATTCTAARGAGTTTTACAGTGGAGCTGTACATGTAGTGGGTTCTTGGGGAGTGTGGTGAGCTGTCAATCTCATCTATGTGTCTTGTTGTCTGTGTGTATTGCATATGACACTTGTCACTACATTCACCCAATAGATCCCTAGATAGACTGTTGATCATTCATAGTCCAGCAGATCCTCTCCCAGAGACTGTTGGTTCCCTTGTATCATACACTAGAAATAATAGAGTTCTCTCATTGTAAGAAACTGAATATTACATGCATATGATATACTCATATCTTCACTATGTCAGTCATTCTATGAAAAAATGACCTCAATTTCACAGACCTCTATATATTCCAGACAACTCCATATAATAAACAGATAGCATTATGGTGTCCATGTAGTTCCACTGTATATTTACATCTAGTTTATTTAGTTAATGCTAAGTAATATCTTGTTTCAGTTGTGGTAATATGAATTTTGCTCGCCGAGACACATGTAATCGCTGTGGTGAAGGAAGACCCGGTGATGCTGGAGGTAAAAATCTTTATRATGATTTATTAGTATCTACCAAATTATGGGCTATAACAAATCCAGCATTCTGATTGGCTACTKAACTGTGGTGCATTCATGATATACCATTGTCACATCGAATGAAGCAAAAATAGTCGAAGATGTGTTGAGAAAAATTGTTCTAAATGGTCTTTTTGCTGCATAGTATGGTGGAACCTAAGTACAGTCTCATGGACTACCAACTCGCAGTTCACAAGACCTTTTGGTCAAATTTTTAATTATCTAGTATTAGTATCGTACTGTTTTCATATCAATCAACGTAGTRTYATTTTAGTTGTCATAACAATGGTTGCTGTCATAATTATCGTGGTTGCCTAGTAACTGTACTGATTTATTAATATGTTCTTCCAGGTGGTGGCGGAGGAGGAGGATTCAGAGGTGGACGTGGTGGAGGAGGTCGTGGTAGAGGGGGAGGATATGGCGGTGGTAGAGGAGGTGGACGTGGTGGTGGTGGATATGGTGGCGGAGGACGTGGTTATGACAGGTAAGCTGGCAATGAAGMGGTTGTAATAAAATTTTCAGAATCACTTCAAAATGATGTACATTTGAACAACTCGAAATTTTAGGTTAAGATTTCATTGAAACTTCGTCAGTATATCAATTATGTTATTAAGAAATGATTCTGAAAATTTTATTACAATCTCTGCGATGAATTTCGAGAAAAAGGTGTTTTTATTTTGCATCGTTTATCCAAGTGGCTTCGCTTTTTGGTAAATTAATTTCTCAACAAGAATTATCGATAATCACTGTTACTTCTGCGAAAGTTTGAGTGCAATGGAATCCAAATTTGCGACGGAGTTTTATAATACGCGCGAAGCGCTATTTATTACGATCGAAACACCTTAATGAAGTTTTATTTGTTTATTATTGAACAGACAAGGAGCACGACAAGACAGAAGAGATCGTCCATACTAGTTCCATTAACCATTTGTACAGTCATTACACCGGTACTCGATCATTCATCGGGTGCATATTAATAGCACATAAGCTTTCTTTAGGGCAGGTATTCCTGTAAAGGCAAGATAACGCCCTTATTGACAGTGTAACCACATTTGTTACATCTTAGTCTTCATTCCATCACTAAAAGCCATCTGACATAGCAAGCGTCATCTACTAGCCCTTTATATACTAGAGTCACTTAACCCATTGAAATAGTTGACTAGCTATAGTAAAGCCAAATAGTATATAGTAATACAATGTAGTACGCTTTAATTGCATTTTTTTCTATTGTGCTTATTTGACTTAATTTAATATTCAAGTTTTGTTTCACGGGTTTGACTTCACTCTAAACCGTGAACTAGTAATAGTCGAGGTATAGTGATCAGATATTAAACAAAAGAAAGCAGTGGAATAGGAGAAAAAATAGTAGGTTTTTACACACTATAAGAAATATCAAAAGTACATACATGCATTGCGTTTACACCGATCTCTTGTTCGTAAGATCATCTCAGATTTCTTTTTTTTTTTGCAATTTTGTTTGGCAAACGGTATATAGTCTCCAATTCCATTGTTTTTACTTGTATCTAAAAGTAAGGTCAAAAGAACACCAATTATAATATTCTAATAGAGTGGAAAAAAAAAACGTGAAATAGATATTACGCCAATACACCGCTCTAATTGCATTGTATTCACAACTAAAAAGTCGAATATTGTTTCACGATTTTCACGACTTTTTTTCACGGGTTTAGCCTCCTCACTCTTTAACTTGACTGTTGCATTTCACGGTCGTGAATGCTCACTAAAACGTGTGTAATAAGTTGCCTTTTCAGGAGTGAGGTTGATACTGGCATGTAATGTAAGATCACCGTTGACTTGGTGTCAGAACCATCCTCTGAAACCCAGAACTATTGAATCAAAATGGTTTCCGAGGATGCACTATAACTTGCCGCTTAATTATGATCAATAAACTTGCTGTTATGATAGCTGCTTGATAGAAGTTCACTGGCTGAAAAACTTTTATAGTTTTGTTTTTTTAATTATTGTTACAATTTTAGTCAATAAAATATTGTATTTGTTTTCTTAAACATTAAGTTTCTGTGTCGAAAAAAAATATAAATTAATGTTTATTTTGATCATTGTCTAGTGGGGAATTTAACAAGTCTAAAAATGTTCATCATAATGTCCATATTATGGATATATAAAATTAGAAAATACGATCATCGGGCAACGTGGAACGATACCGGGGATACCGGATACCGATACCGGGGATTTACGGATTCTTTTTCCATTTTGGATTTCAAAATTTTTGCTGGAAAATCTTTGGATTCCGGATTTCAGGATACGGATTCTTACATACGATCTGCTTTCCAAACATGGGTCATGAGAACAGCTGAAACATATCCTAACAGACCGAAACGCATTCAACTTTCAATTCGAATTTTAATTAAAAGCTCCTGACAACATGTAAGATCTGCACCATTGCACAAAATAATAGCAAAATTGATGCTTGTTGATCGTCATTCCAAATTTCTTTCAAAGCCTCGGGAGATAGCTTGCAAAGTCTGTCTAATCTTGTATAAAATACATCAAGGGATCCTTTAGGAATTGCAGTTTTAGGACACTTCACTTTTATTGTGCAAGAATGAAGGAATTTTTATGAAATACTTAACATCTACACATTTTCTTTACCTTTTCCATTGAAAATGATTAAAATTAAAAAATCAATCTAAGAGTCTCAAAATCAAGCGCTTCCGTTTTAACGTTTTGAACAAGGACTTTCAAAGATTTTACAAATCTCGAACAAAAAAATTCTAGAATGGACGAACTTTAACTGTGAAATTTAATTAAAACCGCAATGCACTTTCTTCTCGACAAAAACTTTTTCATTTGCGAAGAAAGTAGCCTCTATGGAACATATGAACAAATACTATAGTTTACACATTAATAAGAAGTGGAAAATTGTAGCATAGCATGAAATAATTTTCGCACTAAGATCAACTGACACTCATTTATCATGCTAGTTTATAGGCATTCATTGAGCGCATTGCATTGTACGCTCTGTGGGTCTAATAAAAAACCCTGTCAACATTGCTCATGCGCAGTTCATAAGCATCTTTTGGGACACTGTATTTCATTGTTCTCTCTGTGGGTCTAATAAAAAGAAATGGTGGAAACTAGCGGTAAACTAGAGTGTGAGCTGCGTGTCTGTGTTTTTCTAAAGAAACAGTTTTATGAAAAGATAAATTTAACACCGTAAAAAAGTAGGTGAAACAACTTACGGACGTTTCGAACGGTTAATCCTTCGTCGTAGTAAAGACTCCGACGAAAGATTAACGTCCAAACCGTCAGTAAGTGGCCATGGTTTCACGTTCTTTTTTACGGTGTTAAATCATTCTATTAACCATGGTTAAATTTATCGTTTTATTCACGCAATTAGACAAAACACATATGCTCTACTTTGCGTTGAACTCGTTTGATGAATAGACAAATATTTCAAAAACATGTTTTGGAGTAAATTGGCCACTTACATGACGGTTTAACAAATAATAACATATTTAGCATGGATCACAGCTTAGAAAATCTCTTCATCGAAGGTGGGAAAAACCGGCAACCGAAGAGATAAATATTCATTATTAATCATAACGGAGAGGATGGAGTAACTGAAGGGGGTGGCAGTGGGAAAATGTAGAGTTCGTGTTCCTCGTGCTTCAAGCGACAACCAAGGTAATTGAAACTATTGTAGCTAGAACTTGTTCTTTATAATTTCGGTGATCACATGTACAGATAAAACTCGGTAAACATGTCCATCGGGTTATTACCGCGGAAGCCACAATTTACTCCGCCCTGTCCTGTGCGACAATCTTATCACAAGGTAAACTAAAACTATTATAAAAATGTCGCGTTTGATAAAAATTCCATTATACCCAGGGTATAATGTTTGTTTTTACACAACAGTCTACTAAAAAGCTGGTCAGCATTGCTCATGCGCAGTTCATAAGCATCTGTGGAGTTACGGTATTCCATTGTTCTCTATGTGGGTCTAATAAAAAAACTCTCTCAGCATTGCTCATGCTCAGTTCTTAAGCATATATTGGGTCACTGTATTCCATTGTTCTCTCTGTCATTCTGTGGGTCTACTAAGCTGGTCAGCATTGCTCATGTGCAGTTCATAAGCATTTATATGGCTGCGTTCTATTGTTCCATCTGTGGGTCTATCCTTGTTATCATTGCTCATGCTCAGTTCATCAACATTCATGTCGATATTTTCATTGTTATATGGCCCAGATTTTCAATATTAAGGTTAGGTTGGGTTGTGGGAGAGCGTGCAGCTGAATAAACGATGAGGCACCGTTGACTATAAAACAAGATGAGCATAGGGAACTATTCACGCTTACTCAAGAGTGTTTACACTGAATCATGAAGCTGGCTCTGGTTCTCTTTGAAATGTTTCTTATTTTGATTTCGACTCTGGTTCTAATTCTTGTGATTACATCAGTAGTTGTACTGTTGAGGTCCGAGAAAACTCTGCTGCAAGAAGATCAAGGCAGCCTACCTTCCTATCTCACTGGCTTGTGCGATAATTCATTGAAAAGGGAAGTTCTTGGAAACGAAGATGACCCCGCCCAAGGGCCCTTTGTTAACTTCAATCACATTGTAAGGACATGTTCTAGTTCTCTAAGTTGCAAGACTTGTTTTATAATTGACGAATTTGATTTGTCAGTTTTTTTTTATAAATTCTTTTTAGCGAGTTTGTGCAGGAATCCTTGTGAAATGCTTGAAGACGTCCTTTGGGAAATGCGCAGCGGTTCCCTTTTGCAAAGCAATGTACTTTAGGTGCCGATGCATTCTCAAAGACGTAAGGAGATGCCGCAAGATTCTGGGCTTCGCTAATAAGATAAAGAAACACAGCAGCGATCTGAAAAAAGTCGACCAAGACGAAGGACGCGACAGGGATGCAAATAAAGCAAAATGTAGGAAGATATTGGTGAGTATATATCAGCAAACATATACCATAAAGCCTTCTATAATAAAGTATTCTGCGATAAATGAAGACAATATTCATCCAAAATATAAAGAAAAAAGAGTACGATCCTATCGTATGCTATCAAATACACAATATATAGACATTTGCCGAGTCTTTTCTAGCAATGTAAGCTATGCCGATAATGCATAATGATGATAATGATGTGTTCCTCGGGTTTCTTTTGCCCAAACTCCCTCAAAGCGTCTAGGAACGCCTGGCTTTGCAGAATAGTTTTCCTCTAGAATGTGTGATCCGATCACATACAGTGGCTTGTTTCACATACCAATTGTTTTTTTGTTTTTTTGTTTTTTTTGACGAACACGTTAATTTTACAGATATAAAACGATTTCCACCCAAAATATCATGTTTATGCTAAACGGCGTCTCTTACAGAAAGCGTTCCAACGTGGATACAAAAAATGCGCCCACGGTAAGGAAGATTGCGGACCCTGCTTAGAGCAGTCTGAACTCTGTATCGCGAAGAAAAAGCATTACGGAAAGCATGAAGAGCCCTTGGAAAGTGAAAAAGAGATGGCGATGCCTAACAAGATCGTTAATCATGCAGACAACGAGGAAGACGCAAAGCAACGTGAAGTCATAATGCCAAAACCTCAGTGGTAAGAGTATTGCTGACACTGAAAAATGTTCACAATTTACCAATCTACCGTTTCCGGCGGTGGTAACGGTTTTTTTGAAGGCAAAGCTGACTTGCACAGTGCAAGAATATGTTACCATATCGGAAGGAGATGTCTCAACGTGCCAAACGTCAATAGTAAAGTGCAAGCCGACCAAAAACCATGGGATAACACATGGTGATAGTACTGCTAGAATAAAATAAACAGCATTGAAAATTTCGTTGCTTCCTGATACATTTCTGCTCGTTATAAGCAAGCTGCTGATGGTTGCGCGTCCAAACTATATTCAGTGTAATATCATGTATGTATTTTATTGAATTTTATGTCTTTCCCTTAATGTTAAAAAATAAAAATATGATAAATGAATACATATATTGTCATGTGACCTCTTTACCGCAACTTGTTAGCAATATAAAGATCTGGACTATTGTATCTATAAGTTGTACTTGTTCTAGTACTCGGGGGGTTCTGTAAAGTCAAGTCTAAATAAATAAAAGCAGCGATAAAAAAACTTATTATTTTTTTAATATATCACCATAGTGATAGCTTTAATCACAGTTAATCAAATGTTTAATAGCGCGTCATTTATTAACTGAATTTTGACGTGCCACATTTTTAAGGGAAATTAATTATCCGTTATGACGTTTGATGAGTAGCAATAGTGCTTCGGTTTCAAGGGGTCATTATTCCCACCGCTTTCACAGGCAGCCTAGTCAAACAATAGACTACTTGGACGACACGGAGACCATTTTGGCATGGGATAAATTAGAAGAAAACGTTCTTTTTATGTCCCTACCGTAAATGGGGTTTATTTCCATTTAATTCAGCACAGTGCGAGATGAATTAAAAAGATAGACGTGTAAAAAATAATAAACGAAACTGACATTTTTTGTGCCGATTAAGTAACAAGAAAATTTAGGTCCTTCAATGGTACAGAAAAACTAAAAAATGATATATAATAGTTTTGATTTATCTTTTCACAAAATTAAATCTTTTGTCGAAGAAACTAAAATTGGGAAATCTCTGTGGTTCGGGCTTCCTGCTCTTTTTGCTGAAGGAGTGGAACTCAGGCAGTTCAAACATGTCTGATCAATTTGTCGCTAGAATGCCTGGAAGTTCTTGCATTTTAATCCTTGTACTTTAGAAATTCTCCCTAAAAGAGTTGGTACTGAGAGTCAAATATTAGGAAAGCGTTAATACGAGTTGAAAGTCGACCGAATGAGCCCAGGTAAAGTTCGATAAAAAACAAAAATCTTTTGCCACTTTGGTTCACACTGATATTTCACTGATATGGCGTTCTTTTATATGAAGGCGGGATTTGCCTTAATGCACCTCGTCCTCAGCCAGTGAGGTGCCAAGCGATCTTGTTTTGCTATATTAGTAGTATAAGTTTAAGACAATGACAATGATTGAAGGCACCCCCCGGCCCTCCCAGACCCCGGGAAGTTAATTCCTTCGTGTCCTTCTTGCAGTAAAGGACAATGCTAATTGATCCCCGGCTGATAATTGATTTCCTCGATCTCACTCATATATCGAGATGTGCTCAATAAAGTCAGTTGTCTATAGTGTTCCATACTGCAAATTTATAAAAATGCGATTTTTTTCGAATCAATAAAACTCACAACTATACTGGCTATTTGGGCCCATGAACTACTCAGAAAAAAAACTGCAGGCTTACTGCAGCTTTCATTAACTGTAGCTTATAAAGCCTGTTAATAGCAAATACCTAAACCAATTTGGAGATCTATACCACAAATGCCAATAACAGTCCGATATATCTCTATCATTACTGAGTTCGGCTTAGTGTTTGATCTGGTTAAGATACCGAAACGTATTAATTCCCAGTAAGTTACTGACAGAATTTTTTCCTCGTTTAGTTCCGTCTCACTCCTCCTGTGAATTAATTTAAAAGACTTAAAGTTAAAAAAATTTAGCTTAAGTCACTAGTGAACCATATTCTCTTAGTCACCATCCAGGGGACACTGAGAGGGAATCCTTATCAGCTATATAATTAAAAAAAAACAGGTCATTTAATTTTCGCCATTTTTTATTTTAGGCTTGATGACCGTTGGAGTAGTGGTCTCCTGTACTGCAACAAAGCTAAGTGTACATTTTTTAGTTTATTGGGAAATCTCATTCAAGTAAATGCGGTCAGAATCGGTAATGTCACTATGTTACTAGCCAGAGGGAAAAGAAAAGTTAATGAAAAACAGGTTATTGTTTGTCGTTACTCAGGTTATAAACGTTATAATATAAAATGGTATTTTTGAAAGACCTTGTCCGTGCTTCAAAGTTCTCCGTTACTTTACTATTTTCATATAAGCGATCTTGTTGATCTTTTCGTAGTCTTTACACAAATAAATGAAGTCTTTGAGTAATTGATATTATTGTACACCATATTACTAGTTCAATAATTGACGCGTTCCCTTATCGTTTACAAAACAACTAATACGATCAGATATGGTCAGATATCGACGCAAATTTCCTCGGCGCTACCCGCAATACTCATTGAATGTTTTCATATCTGTCGACATCTTGGAAGGATAAGACTGATAAAATTGTCATGACTTAGTTATTAGAAATATAAAGAAGAAAATGAGAAAATTGTAAAAGTCTTATTTATAAACAAGCTGGAATTTAACGTAATTTCTAATTCTGAAGCCACGATCCAGTTTCATGTGATTTATTTGTGTGAGTTTCTTTTGCGTGCACGATTTAATGGAGATAGCCAGTAAAACAAAGAACTTATTAATGGATTCTAGGCTAACTTCAGCCTAGCTGGCATGCAACTTCTTTAGTTCCGTAAGTTTTAAGTTCCTTAGTCATAGACATATCAAAGTCTCCGTCGAGGATAAATTGATTCGGAGCCTGACATACATAACAAGGGGCCCTTATGCATGAGCATGCGCGCAACCGCTGCTTATAACGACCATGGGCTCTAGAATACGGGTAGAATAACATTGTAGTCAGCTGCRGAAGCTTSGATTCTGAACATAATTGAAGTTTTTACTTATCTTCCACATTTTTCCAAACAAAACCAAGTAGATATATTTGCAATGCACACGAATATCTTTCAAACTTTATATAAATTACTGTGAGTCCCGGGCTAGATTTATAACACGAAGCCACTTTGTACCGTTAAAATGTAGTGAATTATTTGTGTACACCTTTAGCAATAATAAATTCCTAAGATGTGAATCGATTGCACTGCAATAGTTTATTTCATAACTTATAATGATACAKCTATAGAACTACACATAGATATTTATGATAACTTGATTCAAACAAGCTCAACTCTTCAGCCAAAAGAATGCTAAATCTGTCGTGAGTGCTCAACAGCACGTAAGAATTTGCAGAATTAACACCGTTCCACATTTTTCATAGACAAGAAAACATTATCAAACCATTTGCAAAGCATAAGTCTTGATATTGGTAGCCTTATTCTAATGAGTCCTGGTGGTATATAAAAGGAAAGTAGTATTTMATGTAACAGTTAATAGTATTTAAGCGTAAATATTGTACACTTCAAGAAACTGTCTTTCGRAYAYTTYGADGTCGATGTTACTAAACGATGCCTAATTATATTACTACATGTGTACATTTACCATTTACTTCATGACCTGCGTTGAATCTTGACCAGCACTCAGCAAAAACTGGAATAGTAGTTGCGTATATAAACCACTGAAGCCTCCATATTGTAAACACAAAGTCATTAATATCAACATTTCTTAAATAAGATTTTAAACGGTCCCAATCAGTCCAATAACGCCAGTGTTTTTCCTCGTTGTAGGTTACACTATTTATGAGTGTTCTTGAGTCATGACAGAACATTTCAGGGTCAAAAACAGCCAAAAACATTTTTGGAAATTATCCTTCGTGTCGTTGTAATTTCTCGCTTGAAGTGAATCACTAATGAATTTCAATGAATTTTCAACAGACTGGCGCATGCGCACGCCAAACGGCCCCTTGTTGACATACATAGAGTCTCATAATAACAAATAACTTTACAATCCCAGGTTAGATTTTACGGCGCCGCGAACGAATAAATCGAGAAAAGTTTAGTTCTAGTTTTCAGTCATGTTCATAACGCTTTCACTGACGCCAAGTGCGTAAACCAATACCCATAATTCCTTGAGGCATCACCACAATGCAGCTGTCGTCCGTCGACGAATGTCACATTGAGTTATGCCAACTTTTGATTTCTAAAGAGAGCGGCTTTTGACAGCGTCGTGTAACGCGATTAAAGAGATCTCGAGACACTTTTAGGACATTTAGGATCAATTTATATTTGGTAGAACAGGATTTAGACGCTTCACTTGTCAGACAAGACACCAAAGTGGCCAGATCGTGCTGCCAGGTAAGGAAAAAAACATATTGATTTCTTGATAGTTGAGGAATATTTGATTGACCCTTCATTTCACGAATCGATGTATTTTTTTTCTTAGAAAGCATATATCTTTTTCACAGAAGAATGTGACCAAACAATAACGCTGAGTTATAAGATGGTTTCTCTTCCGTTTATTAACTAGAGACAAACTTGATTCATTAGAAAACAGGCTCGAATTATCATGAGTCATTATTCTCAGCTAGTTTTTATTGGAGAATGACTTTTAGATGGCTTAAAGCTTTTTCTATTTGAACCGCTTATCAAAACAGTTGTGATAGATTTACACTTGCTGTTTTGGGAGTTAATAAATCGCACTTTGGAGCCCTGTAAAGCATGATCACTCCCTCCATTGTATAAAGACATGTTTTTTTTATTTCTGAAGATCTTCATAGAATGTATAAAATACACTAGAAATAGATTACATTTTAGATCCTAATGCAAACATGACGTAAACTGGAAAATTCTAAACCTTGTCAAGATAGAGTTAGAGAGATGACAGGGTTCCGACTCGCCACGGTAAAACGTCCATTTTGCGAAAACAATTGCCAGTTGATAAAATGTTGTGCCACTCTAAAAGTAAAACCATTTCATACTAAAAACACTTATTTATTCGGCGATATCGAGCTGGACGATAAGATTATACGTAAACATTGATGCATTCGGGAGCCAGTCAAACACCAAGCGGCCACAATGAACCGGATTAACACACAAGAG